TAGTTGCTGTATGTGGGACGCGGCCTCAGCATGGCCGAAGAAGCGGTGCGTTGGTGCGCGCCCGGGATCCGAACCCGGGCCGCCAGCAGCGGAGCGCGTGCACTTAACCGCTAAGCCACGGGGCCAGCCCCTACCAACCCTTTTGATGGATGTTTAATCTATAATTTCTTCCCTTAATTGCTCAAGTTATTTAACCTCTTTTCAAGATTCAAGTTAACTTTTCAACACTGGGCAGCAGTGTTCCTTGGGGCAGACCTAAACTTGTCAATTTTTTTTCTTTCCAAATTATCTAGTATCTTCATAATTAGTTTTTTATTCTTGAATCAAGTCCTGTCAGGTTTGTTCTGTCAGCAAACTGGGCCAGCAAACATGGCCTTAGGTATTTACTTTATTTCATCTGTTAAAAAGAGGTAGCAAAAATTTCCCCACCACCATAGAGTGAAATTTGGGTTGTAAATGACAGCAAATATAAGAATTTAGTAAATAGTGTGATGCATAGAAAATACTTCAAATGGGTAATCAGTTCCTCAGACAGCATCCCACTCTTTGGTTGGGAAATCTGTAGCTGCTGTAGTTATTCTGGTACTGTCCTTGATCCAGCTGCATCTGAGTGTCCTCATGCCCCCCAAATGTTCCAGTCTAGTTTCTTATATATTTTGTGTGTGTGAGGAAGATCAGCCCTGAGCTAACATCCGATGCCAATCCTCTTTTTTTTTTTTTGCCGAGGAAGATGGGCCCTGGGCTAACATCCGTGCCCATCTTCCTCTACTTTATATGGGACGCCACCACAGCATGGCTTGATGAGCGGTGCATTGGTGCATGCCCAGGATCCGAACCCTGGGCTGGAAGCAGAGAACATGCACTTTGCTGCGCCACTGGGCCAGCCTCTAGTTTCTTATATCTTTATCTTAACGTTATTATCATTTTCCTAGTTTCCAATTAGGAAATATTTGAAGGGCAATGCAGTTTGGTGCAAAATCAATCAAGGGCTGTGTGGCCTGAGCAGGTGAGGGGCACTTGGCTCATTACTAAGAATCTATCTTATCAATCCAATTAATAGAATTTTGTGGGGGTGTCAGTCGATAAAATTTACATCCTCTATGGCTCGCTAGACAATCATCTGTGATTTATGCAGTTAAGAAGCTACAAAAGTGATGGTTTGTTTCATCGTGGATGATTTGTTCTTTTTCTCATAAGCCAGCAGCTATATCTGAAGGACAGTTTTTGGATGAACAGCCTAGCAGTGGAGATAAGATTTATGAGTTAAAACCCCCTTTACTATGTGACCTTGAGGTAATCTAGTCTTAGTCTCAGTTTTTCACCTTTAGAACGGTGATAATAGTATCAAACTTAAAAGGTTGAATAATAAGGGTTTACTAGAATCTATGGATAAAAGTTCCAGGTATGCACAAGTGGTCAGGCCCTGTGAAACAGTCACCAAATCTACTCATTAGCCCAACTCAGAATAGCTGTAACCAAGCTGGGTAATAGGCTGAGAGAAGAAAAAATAATCCCTCTAACAGACATCCAGAATACTCAAAAGACTTTTGTTTTATTATAGTACATGGGCTGAGACTGATGGGAGGAGGATGTAGTGGGCAACCATTGCCCTGATTAGCATCGGATGCCCATCCCGATGGCCATGAATGTGCCAAAGGTGCCGCCACTCTGCATCATGGTTTTCCCGATGCCGCCCATCAGCTCCCGACCCCGCATTCCGATCCTGAGAGAGGAAGAAACCAAGATGGGGCCAATTGGGAACAAAAATACTGCCATTTTCCAATTTGTGTTTCTTATGATGAATCAAGCACTCCTGAAGCCTGGCAGGACATTAATTATCTCTTCCAACCTAGAGTGGATGATGACAAGGAAAAGGCTCCATCAGGGTGTCTAGGGGGATTCTTCTGATGAATGTCATATTAACTGCCTTCAGGTTGGGGTGGGAGGCAGCAGATGCACCGTAAAGGACATGGACAGCGAAACCAGTTTTCTATGCTGGTTTTATCTCGAGGGTATATATGATCCAATAAAGACATTCGTCTTTTAGATGGTTTCCTAGTGTTAAAACAAGGATTGTGGAGTCAGACCTGGGTTCAAGGTCTGCAATTCACAGGCTGTGTCAAATGTAAAATGGAGATCATAACATTCACAGGATTGTTGTGACAACACACGTACAGCATTTAGCACAGTGACTGACACCAGTAAGTGCTCAGTAAATGGTAATTTATAATCTGGAAAAACGGGAATAATAGTCTACTACACGTGAAAATGACAAGCAGGCTTATCTGCTTCTACATACGTCCTGTTTCTAGTACAATAAAATTGCTCAAGTTTGTTTCACTATGAACAATTGGAAATAAAAGTAACAGCAGCGATAGTAGAAATAACCATTTATTGAGCTCTTAACACGTGCCAGATTCTGCGCTAAGTGTGGTCTGATTTGATCCTTACAACTCTATGAGATAGATGTTACTGACATCATTCTACACTTGAAACTCAAGCTCCAACTTGCCTACGGTTACAGAAAGAGTAAGGGCCAGAGAGCAGTTTGAGTCAGAGTTCATATTCTCAAGCACTGAGGCTTCCATCCTGTCCTTCCAGACGGAAGGTGGTTAGGAAATCAGTCTCGCTCGTTAGAGGACAGCGAGGGAATTGGAATGAAGGAGGCTCTATTTAGGCTGCAGGCCGAGTGGAGTCGGGCAGGAAGGTCCTGGAGTCCCGCCCAGAGCTCACCGCCCGCTCCCCTCACCTGAGACAGGAAAAGGTGCCGAAGAGCGCCCCGGCCGCCATGCCCACGGCGCAACCCATCACAAAGCCCATCTTCACACGGTCGAAGCAGCTTGGCTGGGATTGTCCGTAGGGACCCACGGCCACCGGCATCTGCAGGGTTCGAGGGTTAGGGAAGTGCAGGCCTACCCGCCAGCCCGAGAGTCGGGCGGGGAGTGGGGAGCAGGTCCAAGGGATCGAGGAAGTCGGGGAAGGAAAATAAGCTTGTAGCCCGACTCCATCACCCTTAGCGTTCGTGTCCCCGCGCCGCGGCGCCCCCACCTCACCTCGCTCGCGGCCTCGGTCGCTCAGCTCTACGTCTCACAAGGAACGCAAGGCGGAGCGCGCTGGCGGCCAGAGGAATCGCTTCCGGGGTGCGGAGCAGTACTTCCGGGAGCCCGCAGCTGAGGACTGAAGCCGCTTCGGCCCGGGGCTCTGCCACCGGGATCATGCTGCTGCGATCCGCTTGGAGGCGGACGGCTGCCGCCTTGCCCGCCGCTCGGGGGCCGAGGCCCGAGGCGCCCACTCGGGGGTTGCGCCTGCGCGGTACGCTCCGGGTCCCGCTCGCTGCCATCCTTCCTGCGGGCGCAGACCTTTCCCCCTCGGCGCGGGCATTCACCTGAATATTCCAGAGCCTACCTCTCCGGCCAGCTACCCAGACCCTCTGACCTTTCCTCTTGGCTACACTCGTCGAACTTGCTCAGGCTGGCCCTTCAACGGTTGACTTCGCCGCGCCCCCTCCCTCAGATCCTGCCCCGCAGGTCCTCAGAGCCTTTGAGGCTCGGCCTTCAGACCTCTCCTGGCCAACTTTTAGAGACCAGTAACCTTTGAAGATCTTACCTCCTCTTGTCTCCACATTCCTTCTAAATGGCTTTGTCTTTTCACAGCCCTCCCTACTCCCAACGACGCAATGTGAATTTTGTCGCAACATCCCCTTTTAAGAACCCTGTCTCTCTCCCTTCCCTCCTTTTACAGTTTGCTCAGGTTCTCTGTTTTCTTTGCTTTTACGTTGAGATTCGACCCAGCATCCCATAAACTTAGCTCGCCTCCATCTAGCTTTTACCTTATGCTATCTTGGATGCCCTGTGTCTGTGGTTGCATCCTCTCTCACTTGGCCACTCCGTTCCATTTTTTTGTCAGTTGTAGACCATGCTCCCCAGTCTGCTGTTCCCTCAGATACAGCCACTGCTCCAAAGGCGGAGTCGGTGCTGCGACCTCTGTATATGGATGTGCAAGCTACAACTCCTCTGGTAAGGATGGAGGGGCAGCTTTCCCCCAGGCTGTCTATAGGAATTATATTGTAGAAGTGACAATACCCAGAAATGGCTGGATCCTTGTGGAAGTGAGAGCCATTGAGAAGTGTGCTGGGAAAAGCAATGAGCTGGGAATCAGGAGGCTTAAGTTGTAGTCTGCTAGAAATGGCTCAGCTACTTACTAGCTATTGACCTCGGTCAAATCACTTCAGTGCAGGCACTATAGTAGTAGTAAAAAGCATGGGCTCTGGAATTAGCTGGACTGCTACTTAGTAACTGTGTGAATTTGGGCAAGTACTAAATGGGTTAAAAGACATAAAGCAGCCTTTAGAATAGCTTGATAATCTATTAAGCATGATAATCATGCTTATCATGAAATATCATGAATATCATGAAACATGATAATCACTTGAATATTAATGCAAGGTTTTGCTAACATGTGGACTCTGTTATGTCCTCACCCCTTGTAGATCACATTTTCTGGCAGGAATGGAAACACCTGCAGAAACAGCTGTCAGGACAAGGCAATGTTTGTAGATTACCTGAGGAGATAGTAGAATAGTCTGATTTAAGATGAATTGGGAATGGAAGTATATTAGGCTGATATTTGGTTAGCACCTGAGGGGATGGAAGAATGTTTGAGGCCTAATCTAGGCAGTGTCTGAAGGTTGGGAGTGTATTGAAGCAGGTTGGGCAGGTCTGGGGGCATGAAGTGGGGCCTGAGTTAACTTTGGGCTCAAGGAGACATGTATTCTGTTGTGCTCAGGACCCTCGGGTGCTTGATGCCATGCTCCCTTACCTAATCAACTACTATGGGAACCCACACTCCCGGACACATGCTTATGGCTGGGAGAGTGAGGCAGCCATGGAACATGCTCGCCAGGTTAGTACAAAGGATTCTAGGAGGTTCTAATGTCAGTTTCAGTGGCCTGTGGTAGGCATTTCCTTCTTGGTAGATATGGGTGGAGGTGGAAATGGTTTGGGGCTCTTTCAGGAAGAGATTCAGAGAGTAGGCCTTGGAGTTCCTCTGAAGGCATTTGATTAGTTCCCACATTTCCTAGCTAAATTACCTTTGGCAAGTTAACTAATTTCTTTTCTTTCTTTTTTTTTTTTGTGAGGAAGATGGGCCCTGAGCTAACATCTGCCAATCCTCCTCTTTTTTCGCTGAGGAAGACTGTCCCTGGGCTAACATCCATGCCCATCTTCCTCCACTTTATATGGGACAACGCCACAGCATGGCCTGACAAGCAGTGTGTCGGTGCACGCCTGGGATCCCAACCGGCGAACCCCGGGCCACTGAAGCGGAGCACGCACGCTTAACCGCTTGCGCCACCGGGCCGGCCTCAACTAATTTCTTTAAGCTGCAATTTCCTCGTATTGAAAATGGAGATTGTAATAGTTTTTTTTTTTTGTGAGGAAAATCAGCCCTGAGCTAACTTCCATGTCAATCCTCCTCTTTTTTTGCCAAGAAAGATTGGCCCTGGGCTAACATCTGTGCCCGTTCCTCTACTTTATATGGGACGCCGCCGCAGCATGGCTTGACAAGCGGTGCGTCAGCACGTACCTGGGATCCGAACCTGCGAACCCTGGGCCACCAAAGCGGAGCGCTTGTGCCACTGGGCTGGCCCCTGAGATGCTGATAGTTTCTATTCCCTAGCGCTATTGGATGGATTAAATGAGACAATGCTGGTGATGTGTTTATTAACACAATGCCTATGCATATACTAAGAGCTGAATAAGTGCTTTTTGAAAAACACCAATATTATTATTATTTTTTCTTGGGCTGGAAAAGAGCCTGGGATCTGGGAAGTAACTGAATCTATTCTTTGACCCTAATGGGTGCAGAGCTTCTTCAGCAGTTGATAGAATGCAGTGGAGCTCTTCTTGCTCCAGAGCTCTGTCCCAGGTGTATCTGCAGCTACGTTCCTGCCTGGGGAACTGACATTACTTATCTCTGCTTTTTGGCTTTCAGCAAGTAGCATCTCTGATTGGGGCTGATCCTCGTGAGATCATTTTCACTAGTGGTGCTACTGAATCCAACAACATAGCAATTAAGGTAAGACAAGGGAACCAGAGGGCATATTTGGGCTTGCCTGACTTGAGAGATGGTGTCCCTCCACCATTTTCGCTCATATATGTATTTCCCAGCCACCCACTTCCACCCTATTGTGAAGAAAAGACACAGACAAGCACACATCCTTTCTGATTTGTTGCTTCCTTCAACCCTTTGGAATCTACTCTGTCTTAAGTCTTTGTTCCTGTTGAACTGAGTTCAGTGAGGTAGTTGGATAAGAAAGGAGGTGGCTCTTGGACCCTTAACCACTTGGTTTTTTGGATGGCAGCTCAGTTGGTTCAGAGAGTGGATAATGGGACTCAACCCTTTTCCCCATCCTTTTGATCTAGTCACAATGAAGTCCAGAGTACACTTATAATTGGGCATGTTTCTCTGCTTCTTGTTACCAGCTTCACCCTTATATGTGTGATTTCAGGGCTGCCTTCCTCTCAGCCTTCCCTTTTCTTTCTGATGAAATCTGTTTGCAACCAGTTCCTCCTGTTTCTTTAGCTATCCCAATTTGAAGTACTGGTTACTGTGGTGCCCTCTGCAGGCATTTACTTGGTCACCCATTATAAGATCAGGCACTCTATCCTTGAGACATATAGATCTTTGGTGCTAGCAAAAGTAAAATTCCACTCTCAATAGTCATGTTGGTGTTTCATAGAACATAATCATGTTTAACTGGGCCTGGTTGTCAGAATCACTTGTGTAAATACCAAGGCTCTGATAAACTGTGGGCTGCTATAGTTCAAATGTGGCTCTAATCCCTCTCACCATTGTCTCTCAACTCTGCTGCTAGTATTAGCTTTTCTGACCTTGGCCTGAGTGTAGGAGGCCTGGGACGGGCTCCAGAGTCATCAACACACTGCCCAATCCCGTTTTAGCAGGAAGCCGTCCTTGTGGACTGCAGAGACCACAGAGCCAGGGTGGAGCTCCCTCCAAAGATGAGGATGGTTTCTGGAATAGGTGCTACCAAACCAAAATGAGTTTGCTCCCTAGTGAGTTAAAATCAGACTCTCCACCAGAAGTAGTTGTCACACAAAGTAAAGTATATTTGCAGCAAATTGGAGACCACACGGAATCATTTCCAAAGTCGTGGTCCTCCCTGAACAAAGGGAAGCAGGTGTCTTTTTTTTCGGGTGGGGAATGAATGACAAAAGGGAAGTTTTGTCATCACATGTAGAGGTGGGTATTAGCTGGTGCAGGCTCAGTCTGACAACATACTGTCGCATATATCATGTTATGCTAATGTTAATAAGGCCTAGGCTTCTCCTAGGAGATTATAGTATTAAGATGAGGAAAAGGGCATTTTCTGGTCATCTGCGCAGGCGCTGCCCTTGCAGTGGGGCTCTATCTGGTTCAGGCCAGTTGACACTGCTATCTCTTCCCGACATAGCTCTGAAAAACAACCTTGAGGGAGTGTTAAGCACCTTTAAACTTCCTTTGAGCTGCTTAGGTAATGCACTGATGACATAGGGAGCGTTTTCAAAACTGAAAATGTTTGCTTTGAAAGTCTCCACAAATCCCAAACCTAGAGGTCAAGGATTGCTAAGAATAGTTGTGACAGTTGTCCCCTTAGTCTCCTGGATGGGTAGCGTAAATGTGTATCTTCTATTAGAGGATTCTACACTGTGGGTAACTGAGATAGGAAGGCAGAGGGGACTTTAAATGTTTTGCTTTTAGTGTTCCTTTTCCTCGAGAACATAGTTTTTAATGTACTTATAATTTTGGCCTAATTATTTTTATATTTTGCTTCTAAAGAAGTACTCTATAATAAGCTCTATGAGGTACAGGGTTGCACATTTTATTTCTTTTAATTTTTTGAAAGTAATTCATGCATATGTGGTGAGATTTTTTAACCCTATAGAAAGATTTAAAATAAAGTGTAAGTTTTCCTCTCCTCTTCTGACCCAGAGTCCTGATCTGCAAAGTTAATTTTGTTAATTCTAAACTAATTCTGTTTAGTATTGTTCCAGAAAAAAATTATACGTACATATGAATTTGCTTTTAATATTTTCACAAATTGTAGCATGCCATATTTATTCTTCTATAACCATTAATAACATATCCTATGTTCTTCTGTTTCAAAATCCATAATTTTTAATATATTCTTTTTCATGGAGTTATGTTATCACAATTTACTGTTCATTTCTATATTGTTGGTTGTGTTTAATCTTTCCATTTTTGGGCCGGCCCCGTGGCTTGGTGGTTAAGTGAGCGCGCTCCACTGCTGGCGACCCGGGTTCGGATCCCGGGCTCGCACCGACGCGCTGCTTCTCCGGCCATGCTGAGGCCGCGTCCCACATACAGCAACTAGAAGGATGTGCAGCTATGACACACAACTATCTACTGGGGCTTTGGGGGGAAAGAATAAATAAATAAAATCTTTAAAAAAAAAAAAAAATCTTTCCATTTTTTAAGAATTGTAAATATAATTAAAGCATATTTTGTCTCTATAGCTTCATCTATCTTTGAAAAATTTCCCTAAGGTAAATTCCCAAAAGA